ATTTAACCTATTTTTATTAACTACATACTCCAAATTTCAGANCATTTAGATTGTAAAAAAAAAATAAAAAATGAATATACTGGACATCATGACCTTGCCGATGAACTTTAGACAGTGATGAGGGTAGACGAAATCACTGTTCATTTTAGCCTATAGGAGTTTTGTATATATATATATGTGGGTGCAGTTGGCATATGGATGCATCCGTAGTTGTAGAGGTAAGATGCACCTTCAAATTTTATCATGGTATATAATTTTGATGTAAAATATTCTTAGGATTATATCAAAATCTATTTTTATATCTAATTATAACATTTTAAATTTTAAAAATGGTTAAAATCAAGTAGATCTATAAAGATATGAAAATCTTGAAAAATAGACGGTGTAGATAATATGTTGTAAAATGCACTATTTTAGACTTAAAACCTTTTTATTTTCATGGTCATACATCGCAGATGTCGAGTTGATCATTCAAAGGGTTTTTCAACATTAAAACTACCATTTCCGATGGATTTTTGAGGTGCATCCGTAGTTCTACATTATACGGTTGCATCTTTATATAAACTTTTTCCTCTATATATATATATATATATATATATATTCTGAGATCGCACACAATACAAATAAGCGTTCTTTTTTTCGTAAATTATTTTGAAAATTTTATAAATTAGACACTACTATTTGGTTAACGAAATTAGAATATCCTAATCCTTTCTTTTAGGCGTACTTGATCTTAACCAAGATTGTGCTCTCTTTATGACATTCTAACTACACCTCAAATAGTTTTACATAGGCAATATGAGCATTGGTACTTAGTACGTGTTTTCGTGTCTAGTTTGTAGGGCCAAAAATTCAACACTTCTCAAACTCGTTTACGCTGATACCATTGAATAAGATAATACATTATATAATAGAGTTGGTATAGTTTATTATTATTATTTTTTGACAAATGATATAGTTTCTTATATTGTGTTCCGAGGGCCAGGCCAAGACCAGGCTACCATGGCTCGAGGGCCAAGCTGGACCGGACCAAGGCTAAGGCCGCAATAGGGTTCGGCCAGACCTAGCCCTATCGATGGAGAAGTAGTGATGGCAGTTCATATTCAAATGTAGAGGGTTCAGGATTCAAACCATAGACATAGAATGTGAATGCTTGGTTGTTCGGAAATTAGAAATTTAAAGTTTTTATGATACAAAAATGCGAGTTATTATATAACACTAATGAAAGAAGTGTCCATACGGTAATAAAAAATAATTAATGTAGATCAACATGTACGGATAAGTGCCAAGGGATTGTGAGCAAGTGGTGATATATGCCACCAAAAATATGTCAAGTATTGGAGTAATAATGACCGTAAACCAACCAAATATGTATGTCATCAGTAAATGGCTATAATACCCTTACGTAGAGCAAACTTATGTGCCCTAGGAGGAGAAGCGTAATCCCGAAGCTAGAATCCCCAAGTTAATGATAACATGCTAGACCTTGTGAAAAACACATATAAACGAATTAAAATCTAACTAATAAAGTGCGTAACATATAATAGCGG